TCCAGCCATATCACTCCTGTCTCCACTCCTTAGCGCTGGGATTAAAGGCCTGTGATCCCAAGTGCGGGGATATGCTCACCCACTCTGAGAACAGTACCAGCTGAACTTGTTCAGTGGAAAGAGGAGATGATGATGATGGGGATGTTTTTCTGTATATACGTTTCTCTTATTGGTTGATGAATAAAACATTCATTGGCCAGCGGCCAGGCAGGAAGTATAGGTGGGACTACCAGACAAAGAGAATTCTGGGAAGAGGAGACAGAGAGAAGCGGCCAGGGAGACGCAATGCAGTCGCCTAAGGAGTAACAGGTCCAGACATTCTCCGGTAAGATAAGGCCGTGTAGAAATAAACAGATGAATAGTTATAGGTTAATAATTAAGAGAGAGCTATGCAATAAGAAACCTGAGCCATTGACCAAACAGTTTATAATTTAATATAAGTCTCTGTGAGTTTATTTGGGGCTAAACAGCTGTGGGACCAGGTGGAACAGAAACTCTGTCAACCGGGATCACCTTTGTGTGAACTGTTTCTATTTTAGACAGACTCAGTGTTGTGTAGCCCAGGGTAGCCTTGAATTCGGAGATCTGCCTACTTCTGTCTCCCAGGCACCGGGGTTAAAGGCGAGCGCCACTGCCTGCCCTGTATTTCCTTTCTCGGTTACTCTTTTCCCCAACAGCTGTCCAACTTCTCCTTTGAAACTTCACGTTTACTGCTGCCACCCAGCTCTCTACAAGTGAGTGACAGAAATGCCTTACCAGAGATGGAAGCGAATATTAATAATTTTCTCATTAAAGATCGTGAAGTAATACTGCCCAGTATGATGAAACCAGTGACTGTAATCACTCCTTTCACAGAAATTCACTAGATGGCTTTTGCACAGCTGGATGGAATTTTACTGTATGAGTACTAATGTAAAGAAGTCATTTATAGAAAAGAGTGTTCCCAGCTCACTAGCATTGATGGCACGGGTTAGGGTGGTTTGGAGCATGTGTGTAAGTACACATGTATGCACATGGCAGAGGCCGAAAGACAGTAGACACCCTACTGCTCTCTTGCCTTACAACCTTAGGGAGGAATTATCAATGAACCTGCAGCTATCTGTTTCAGTGAGGTTGGCAGGCTAGCAGGTCTCAGCTATTCTGTCTCCACCGGCCAGTGATGGAGTTACAGGCTAAGTGTCTATGTCCAGCTGTTTACATGGGTGCTGGGGATTGAAACTTACTCAGGTCCTCATGCTTTGTTCTCAGTGAGCTTTCTTACTCACTTATCACTTATCCTCGAGGACCTGATCAATGGTTTTAAAACTTCTCCCAATCTTCATACATACCATGGTTTAGTCACTAAATAGCAAATTTAATCATACTCCCTGAAAAATGTCCTCTAAGCTGAATGTGGGAGGAAAAGGTACTCAAGCCTGGAAGATCCAGCACTGAGAAGGAAGTGGGAACCAGGTCCCACCCCTGTCCTAGTCAGTGTTCTACTGCTGTGAAGAGCCACCAGGACCATGGCAACTCTTATAAAGGAATGCATTTAATTGGGGCTGACTTACAGTTAAGCCAATTATTAGCACAGTGGCACACAGACAGACACAGTGCTGGAGGAACTGAGGGTTCTATCTACATCCGAGTCTTCAGGCCACAGGTAGAGCATGAGACACTCAGCCTGGCTTGGGCTTCTGAAACCTCAAAGCCCAACTCCAGTGACACACTTCCTCTAACAGGACCATACCTCCTAATTCCTGTCAAACAGTGACACTCCCCGGTGACCAAACATTTCACATATATGAGCCTACGGGGGCCATTCCTATTCAAACCACATCAAACCCAACCAAGAAGCAATTTGTCATTGACTGCTGCTGGGAGAATGAAAATCAGTTTTCTTCAAAGGAATAACACTGGGTGTGCTGATGACATCTCAACGAAGCCATGTGCTCAGTCAGGAACAGTTGGCCAACACAACAGAGAGAGAGAGAGAGAGAGAGAGAGAGAGAGAGAGAGAGAGAGAGAGAGAGAGAGAG